CCGGCCCGCCCCCTCCGGGGAGGGGCGCGTCCCCTCCGGGTCCTCAAACCCGGGGCCGCGACTGCCCACGGAAGGCCTTTCGGACCGACGGCACGCACGCGTTATGTCAAAAAAGGAGGTGACACGGGACACACAGGGGACCCGTAAGTAATTCCGGGCCGTTTGCTACTTGTGATGACTTGGCCAAATGTCAAGACGAACGGGGAATGGACACCCAATGTCCCCAAAGCAGCAGCTACCGGGGCCCACTCTCGAAACGTGGTCTGGTCTCAAAGACCAGATGTCCACAACATCCCGATTTAACCAGAGTTCTGTATTTTAAACGTGGAAACAAAAGATAGCCTCCACTTAGGGTGCACACACGGGTGCCAGAAGAAACTTAACACTGAGGAATCCTTTTGAAACTTCTGCCCACCCTTCTTCCTTTTTGAGAATGTTCTCCCAAGGACGATTTGCATTTCCTTTAAAAACGTTTCACTCGCTCAGTGCCGTGTTCAGTGGGGGAGGGCTAAAATACGAAAACGAAGGACATCCGCATAACGGCCCCTTACGCTTTCATCTGGACTTCTCAGGGCTTACTTTGGAAAGTCATAAAACTCGTGGAACTGTAGGCAAACTTTTGGGTCCGTGTATTTTTCTGACGGGGTTAGAATTTCATTGTGCTCTATGAGTCAACAAGTTTATGATTTTAGTGTATGGATGGGTCGTGGAAGAAAAGAACAGGGAATCCACAAGCAGAATATTTATACATTTATTTATAGTGAAATGGTCTAAATATTTACAACATATAGGAAACCAGAGGATCAGTTGATACAAAGGCAGCCTGCGAAGTATTCGAATGTGCAAAAACGACAGTTCAGCGTCTCACACTCCCGGCTCAGCAGACTAGCTCTTCACTTTCACACGTCCATATATTTGATACAAAAAAGTTCTTTTGGCAAAACCTGTAACGCCAAGAAAAACAGGACGAGGTGCGAGTTCAGCCCCTAAGTCCGCCGTCCTACTGCGAGCAGTGAAATGTTTGAGCTGCAACCAGTTCTGAGACAGACTGCTGTGTTTCGCTTGTGATGAGTTCTGCCCAGCTTTTGAACAAGCGGTTTTTCTCTGACCCATATGAAGACAAGGAGCTTGGAAGGGCAATAAAAACAGCAGTGGCCATGAGAGATGAGTGTGCCTGAAAGTGACGGCTTTGGGTCACCCCAATAAAAGACACGATGAAAAAAATACCTTTGTTTTCCTACCCGGGATCCAGCCGTATCTGCCAATTTTAAATTCGTGAAACTGCACTTTCCAAAATGGAAAAAATCCAAAAATGAAACAGGGATGAGGAACTTGCAGATGTTTAAGTACCGAACGGAAAGGGTGGTCTTAAAATCACTTCCCCACTAGCGAACAGTAAGGCTCTGTGTATAACCAGTTATTATCAAAATTGACCAAACAGTAGTAAAATACAAATAAAACTTTCTTTTCGTCAGAAGAGGAGCTATTCATTTGGAAAAGGCCGGATCAGGTCAAACGCATACTGGAACGACCCCGCTGGGGTGCTCTGTTGACCAAGCGTGTTTCACCGACTGGTAAAAAAACGGCTTCTGAGACAAATTTGTGATCCTAAGTAAATGTTAACAGATGCTATGCCGCTGCAGAAAAGAGGGTGTTTTAAAAAGAACGCGGCCCCTTTAAGAAAGGGGCCACTGCATCTCTAACTTGGGCAAAGGTCCACGATGGCTCCCAGTACAGGCCACAGTCTTGTCAAATCAAATGCATGCATTATTGCTAAGGACGAGTCATCGAGGGTCGAAACTCTGTCCCACTGTTCCTACGGGGCCATCCAGAATGGCATCTGCTGCTTAGCTCGTGGTTGCGACGAAGGGTACTGATACCCCAAACTCCAGCCCTGTGGAAAACTACTTGCATTTTTATGGCCTCCATGATCCTCCTCTTCGTCAGACGAATCTGCAGCGTAAGCCACCAAGCCAAAGCCCTTCTCTGAAGTTTTCATCTTCTTGACTGGATAATCTAGAATAGAGAAAGACAACCCCAACCCCATTCCCCGCCAAAAAAAAAAGGTAATACCATAAATTCGTTAATAAAAAAAAGATGTTAATTGTAAGTGGTTAGTTGGACACCATTTTGAAGTCACAGGGTCAGTGGTCACCCAAAAACGTTGAAGATCACACGAAAAACAGCATCAGCATCAGCAAATGTGAATCCACCAGAACCATGTAAGAAAACAGAGAAAGAAAAAGAAACACAAAAAAAAAAAAAGAAAAAGAAAAAAAGGAAAGTTAGCAAGTGAATCTCTGGAGATTGCTATTTCACCTTTTAAAGAGTTAAAAGAAAAGAAGAAAAGAAAAAAAATTATTTTCTCCTGTTCGTTTTCATTATGACTACAGATAAAGAACAGAAACAATCCCGTGGACCGCAACGGGGTCTAGCATTCTGGGACGCTAAGAAGCGACATGTCCCGTAACGGCCACAGGCTGACGGTTCCTGACCAACAGCGCTATGAAGGGAGGCGTGGCTTGGTTCTCAGTACAAGAAAATCGATCTTTTTAAAGTCTGTATCAGGTTACCTTCAGGTATCTCGACAACAAGGCAACAAAACTTTGAAGTGACCTACCAATCATTAGTATTTCCTAGGGGTTTAATGTCGCTGATGCTACGTATAAAACATGTCGACTGACTCTTTCCTAGACACACGTCGGATGAAAATAATAGGCTGTGTAACTATATGCCGCTGTCCGTATAAATAAAAAAAAGAGTATTCTCATTAGGTTACAGAGGCTGAGTCAAACAGCTAAACGAGTCCCTCCTGAGTGAACATCAGGTTAGAAAACTAAGCCTAGGCCCGGTCTGGGCCACTCCCTCGCCCCGTCACACCTCACTCACCGTGGCTCCCTGCTAAGGTCCCAGAACCACTCCTTTCATCAGACTCTGTTTTTATTCCAGTCACTGGAAAGGCTGGTGGAGGCATCAACTGCCTGTTGAGAGAAAAAAAATGAATCACTCTTTCGGACGAACTCAATCTGTTTCAAACTCCCCGGGAGAAAAGGAGACCGACAATACAGTCTGCGGATCACCTTTCCTTTTCGCCATTCATTCCAACCCTCTCCCCCCGACCCTCCGTCCTTCAAGCTCTCTTCGAACCGTGAGATCATGAGGCCTCGTCTACACAGCCAGGCCAGGCCAAAACCAGAATGGGCTGTGGCGCGGAACGAGCTGCCACTCACAAAGGCTTACGGGGACAACAGAAGGGAGCAACCCAGCACTGCGTGGCAGGCTGGACTGCTACGCACGCAACCCCACCCTGACGTCCTATGATTCGAAGCAGCAAAAATGGTTCGATCGCGGAACCCTCTGTCACTGCCACCCTTAGGAAAACGGCCAAGATGCAGACAACGAAAGTAAAGGGAGATGCCGGAGTGAGAAGCACTGAGTTACTCAAAGCTCAGCGTAACCGCTTCTCAGACGGAAAGTCCCATCGCCTTCCGTGACCGCACGGACCACACACACGGAGGCTTGTTAGATCCCGACGATTTCGGAGCACCGACGCTCACAGCAACGACTGTTATTTACACGACGACGTCAACGACACTTGAATGTCTCCGCACGGTTCCGTCCCAACGTACCTGTCCCTCTCTCGCTCTTTGCCTGAGGAACTTGCCGGCTTCGATCCTGCACCTTCAACCTCATTCTGGCTGGAGAAGCCTGTACCTAAATTAGTCATATGAATGGGTCCATGCTATGAGCAGAAAAATACAGCGGCATTAGCACATCTACCACTGCTGCGTGGACGTCAGCTCCTTAACGTTTAACTGTCAGTTCCTCGTCTCTCTGATAAAGTAAGCTGCTCTGTGGCTCTCTGGGAGGCGGAGCCTAACGGCCGGCGAGGCAGACCGTTTTTCTGTGGGCGTGGTCA